GTTCCAGAGGAATCTCTGGGAATTGCTAAGTGAGGGTGGCCAGAGAGGCACCAGCAGCAGCAGAAAAAAAATACTTTATTTCTCTTTATCTCCTTGTGACTGGCCATCATCAGTAAAACCAAAAAAGCTGGTGCCTTCCTCCAGCTTCTTAAATTAGTTCTGCTGTAAAGGAAGCGTGAGAAAAATGATAGCAAGCCTCAACCCAGAGCAGGCTAGCTTAAAAAGTGACTATTCCTCTCCTCTGCTCTCTAGCTTCACTTCACCATGTCTCTCTCCAGGCTGGTAACCGCGGGTTAATGAGCTCAGGAGAGCGGTAGGACAGCTCAGAAAAGGGAGTTCGTTGAGGAGGTGGCGGCTGCTGAAGGGGAAGATGGGAGCAAAGGAGGCTCTTGGGTTACTGCAGAATGTCTACAAGATCTTGAAAGCTTTTTTTTTTTTTTATTTTTTTTTAGTTCTTCCATTAAACTTTTATATAAATGGTGCTGTGGCAACAAAGAGACAGCTGTCGTCCTGCCGGATCCTTATGGGGGGATGGACGGGGTTAAGAATAGTTCAGGCACGTTCATTGGGTGGTTAAAGCGCAGACACTGGAAGGAGCACCCGTGAGCGTGTGTGTGTGCAGGTATGTTTGTGGGTATGTGTGTGTGCCGGTAAAAAGCCACCATGCTCCATGTTGAAAAATCACAGCAGGCCTTTAGCATGGTTTCTGCTGCTTTCTAACCTTCTGGAGCGTACTGTCCTTTGCAGAAATCTTCATCGGACTGTGTCTCCTCTGAATCGCTCTCTGCAAGCCATTTTTACACACCATCTTCATGGGAGCAGCATCAAACTTTGGTTTTCCGTGTGTGTTTTCACCAATTCAAGTAAATTACAGATTTTCCTTAGCATACGCTAACTGGCCAGATGACAGTCACCTATGCTTACCAGACATCACCTTCTCTTCTCCAAGAACTTTTGACCAAAGGCATCTAAGAAAGAATATACACATCACAACATACCTGATCTCCAGGTGACTGACCAAGAAAGCAGACTGCTCTTGAACACCCCTTCTGCTCTTCCTCTCCTTTCTAGTTGCAGCATACGTGTTTATAGTATACAGTTGATATACATGTAAACACATTAGAAGTCCCATGGGCTTCTCAGGTTCTACCTGAAGTTTACCACCGTGTAAACTGCAGAATGTTTTGCTCCAAAATTAAAAATGACCCCTATTAGCAGTGTTTCCTAAAACCATGGACTCCTTGTTCTTTCCTTTTCCCACACCTCTCACTTCCAGAACTTGTAGCTTTGAAGTGGTGTTTGTTGCATTATCTTCGAGCCACCTGGGAATAAATATCAAAATAAAACCGCTGTGGGAGAGACCAAACGTGATTTTACTGCCCACGGATAAGTTGCAAACCTGCATTTGAAAACCCTGGGCACCTTGGCTCGCCGGCATCTTCTGGCTCAGGCAAGGAAGCGAAACATCCCTCTTGTGTAGGTCTTCCTGTAAACCCGCTGCAGAGCAGAGGATGGTGAGTACCTACCCATCTCTTTCTCTTCTACCTTGCAAAACACATCCCTTCGATTTCCTTCAGTGATTTCATCTTCCTAAAGAGCGTATCTCTTGCCCTGGTTAGCTGAAAAATGGAAGAGCTACATTACAGATCCCCCATTGTCCTGAGCAAGTCAGTTTTGTTAAAAGCGTTTTCATTGCCGTGTTGCCCAACCTGTGGTGGGGAGCAGCTACCAGATAAATCGAAGAACCGTGTCGTAAATGTACTTACCTTGCACTTGGGACTCTGTCCCACACCCACCCATGCAGCGCTCTTGGACTTGTCTGGGCACCCTGCCCTTCTTGGAAGTGCCTGATATTTCCTTTTACATCAGCGTGCTACACAAAAAAAAAAGTCAACTTTTCTCCTTTCCAAAATTAGCTCTGTGTAGGCACCAAAATAGACAAGAGTAGGGACCAATGACCATTTCTTTCCAAAACATTGTCTCATGATTAGGCCTAGGAAAGGGAACTGCTCGGTCAGAGAAGGGAGATTCTTGATTTTCCTAATGGGGCCACTAAGTTCTGTTCTGTTTGGGCATGTGCAGTTTCCAGACATGCTCTTTGGATTAGGTTTATTCCCGTATAATTAAATCACATCTCACACCTATGTTTGTAACCAGACGAGTCGCTAACTTGTGCCCGCTGCCGGCTGGCAGAGCTCTGAGGAGGAGCAGCAGCATTCTGCGAGTAGGAAGACGTGCAGCGATGCACCACTGTGCATGTGCTTCCTAGCTGGGACGACCAGAAATACAGCCAGAGAGACTTAATGAAGGCTTTGCTCCTACGGAAATCGGTGGTTTCAGCCCTTGTATTCTGCAGGGATGGTTTCATTTTTCAAGCTCCGGGTAATTGTATTTGCACATGTTTCTGCAATGCAGCTTGAATTCTTAAAAATACCCCAGGCTTTAGCGTGCTGCGGTAGTACGACATTTGGAAACAGTCTCACTGAGTATAGTACTATTTTTAGCCTGGTTTCCTAAACTAGCACAGCTTATGTGATTGGGTTGTCTGTGGCTGCTCCCTCCCTTCCTTCTCCCATTAGCTTTGGAACCCATTGGCCAATTTCAGACAAATATTGAGAGGACTAGAGATTTCAGAGATGTTAAGCTCCGCCTATGCATTCAGTGAAAATACGTTGATCGAATAGGTGAGAAAAACTCCAGTTGCAGCCCCCAGTAATGAAAAAGGTTCAGCATGCTTTTTAAGCTATTAGCCATCAAAGATTCCATACTATAAGATTCCAATAACTATAAGGTGTTCAGCTGCAGGAAAAGCTCAAGTCAAATCCTGCTAAATAAGCCATAACCCAACCACTGCCACAGGAGAGCCCACTTCCAACTGTCACTATTCCCAAACTACCTCTCGTGAATCAGAGAGGCCATGTTTGACCAGTGAAACAAGATCCAAGCAGCACGAAGAGTGCTCTTTCTGATGCTGGGTGAATGCATGTAAGCAAATGTCTGCAGAGCAACATACTGAGCAGGTCCTCAGTGGACAAGTAGATTTGCAAGGACGCTCATGCAACATCATTGAACAATGACTTCTGTACTACTGCTATGACTGATAACGTAGGGTGCTGTGGCTGAAGGGATATTGCTGAGTATTAAGGGTGTCTTAGTAGATGTTTCAAGGAGAGAGGGATGATTTGGTCACTGAGAGCTGTGTTCTACTCCTGAATGTGCTTCATAATGCCCGTGCTAAACCATACAATCTCTGTGCATCCAATTTGCTTGGGAAGTATAAAAATGAAGGAGAAAGTTAAAAGAGGAACTGCCTGTGGTCTGTGCCTTCCCAGGAAACAAAGTTCTTCACGACTGCAGACAAAGCAAGGTGCAGATGGGGACACGTTAGCCGGCAGCATGACTTTCCCATGGACTTGGAGCATTCTTCATTGCTTGAAATCTTTGAAAAGAATGTACATCTCCTGAATGGTGAGGCTTGCTGCAGTAACTACATGGGCACAGTCCTCCAGACCGTCATATGCAGGTGGCTGGGCTGGACGGTCAGAATAAGCCCTGCTGGTCTCAGTATCTGGGAGGCTTCCTCAGGATTCCAGAGGACTGCCAGCCTGAATGGATTAGCATTCACAAAGACCTTTCTACCCTATCATATCTTCCACCAGAGGAACTCAAAATATTATTATATCAGGAGCCGCTACTGAAGTTCACTCTAACTTTTAAGGATCTTTGCCCACACAGAGAGGGATTTTTTTGACTTTGGTGTGTTGTGTTGTCATGCCGATGTGACAAGACTGCTGCTCGATGAGAGATGTTCCTGCCCACCCCATGCCCTTACCCGTGCTGCTCCCTCGTGGCCCCTCTCGCGTGGTGATTCATTAGCAGTGACTATAGCTTAGAGGACAAGACGGATAGTTATAGAAATAAAAGGAGCAACTTTTGCAGGGCTTTTATTGCCAGCCTGGGAAGTACAATACTACGTAAATAAAAATCATTACGGTTATGACAGCTCTATAGTCTCTGGAAAATAAATAATACTTTGCATTTACATAGTGCCTTTCATCCAGGAACGTCCGAGCTTGTTGCTCACATTAACAAAGTCTCCCAGTGCCTGTAGTAGGAAGGTAAATACAGCATCCCCATTATCAGCTGAGCATACTGGGTCCAGGAGAGGTAACCTAGCTCCTCCAGTGGAACGAGGACAGGATGGGGAAAGGGCAGCTTGGGTTAAACACAGCCCTTCCACTTACTTGACTTAGGCAAGTCATTTCACGTCCTCGTCTCTGTTATTTCTGGTCCGTAGGGTGGGATCCCAGCCATCTCCTTCTCCAAGGGGCAGCTGGGGTTCATAGCTAGCACTGGGAAGGCACCATGAGGTCTTCCATAACGCGTTTATTGACTTGCCCATGCTAACAGCGAGCGGTGCAGCCACGACAGACCCTGTGGGCTATGGCTCATGCGTGCTCTGCTAGCTGTGCGATGCTGCCTTTCTTACAAGCTTGTCCTCCAGCGCCACTGAAATGCTGCTGCGCAGGGTCATCCCCATTGCTCTGGGGTGTGGCATCACTGAAAATCGCCTGTCGTGTAGCTGAGCACAGCAGGAGGAGAACGTGATGGGAACGCTGGTGCCCTGCTGCAGACATAAACAGTATCATGTGTGATGTGGGTGAATTCCCTGTCGGTCATGTACTTTGGGGTTCTCCAGCGTGTGTTGAAGTTGTCTGCTCTACGTGGCTTCTCTTCCCCAGCAATTGCAGATAACTTCAGTCACTGCTCCTTGCAATGGCCCTGGGAAGATATAATGGACGCGTAGATTTTCAGAGCTTCTTTGATCAGTGTTTGAGATACTGCACTGATTTGTATTTTGTAAGAATACTTAGCCAGGAACTTTCTCTTTTATCAGGCCCACGTTTTAGGCAAACGGCTCTTCTCACCCTGACCACCTACACAGCAATGCCTGCTATAGCTCGGAATTGATAATTGCCTTTTCCTCTGTTTTACAGCAGGGTTACCATCCATTGCCTCATGAAGCTGAAATCGCACACACCAAAAAACTGTTCAGAAGGAGGAGAAATGACCGCAGGTAGGTGAAACCTCTCTTGAGTGCATTTTTTTTGAATCTTCTCTTCCTTGTTGCACATCTTCCCCCACTGTCTCACAGGAACGTCTTTGGACAATATTGCCCTTTAGCAGCTGGCACCGCTGCGTAAATGCATAAACCTTTATTTGAACATTAACACTCTAGAACTGTAGTGTCTGTCCATGCCACAAGAGTGTCTTTAAAATCTTGGATATGCCCTATATTGCTCCAGAGAGCTGAGACCCTCCTTCAGTGCAGGTTGAGGCTACATCAGCTTGAGGGAACCTGGAGCAACCCTAATGTCCAGCTGCCCTCGCGCCAGATCCCCTGCTTTCATTAGAAAAGGCAGTTGGCAAGATATTTTCCGTAAAGGTTTTGAGTCCCAGGAACTTCCTCTCTTTTGACTGAAAAGTGGAATTTGCTGACTTTCAGGGCCCTGTGCAGAATGTTGCAAGGGGTTGGCAGCAAGCGTCAGGCGCCTTTCCATGGGAAGGAGTCCGCATGCTAAGTAGGCATTCAGCTGAGCTCCTGTGGAATGGGTGATTTTAAATCTACTACGTTAATTTAATTGTGCAAATTGTGTATTTAATTGTGTAAGTTGCGTATTTAATTATATGAGGGCATCCAGAGTCCTGCACAGGAGTCGTGCTTGTGGTTAAATTTGAAAGTAAATGAGGAATGGGAGAGGCAATTGCACACGCAGCTTTTCTCTGTTTGCACGTTCTTATGCTGCAGCTTAAGCTACAAAACCAAGATAGTAAAGCCTGTCTGAGACCAGGAGTTTGCAGGGTTAATGCTATTTCTAGGAGAAAGAGTGGCCAATGTTTTCTTCAAGATTAAGCTGAAAACGATGTGTCTCTGAGCTCTGATGCCTCGGTGGAGCCTGATTTTTCAGGGCAGTCTTACAGAGAGCTGCCCAGTAACAGTCGGATTTGCATCCTGGAATCACAGAGCTGTCACTTTTTGAATTGTGAACAGCTTTCAGAAAGCCACGATACGGTTAACTCTGGTTTGGTTTTCCTGAATTTGACTGAGCAAGTGAAAAACAGCTGCAAAAAGTTTGCTCCGACGTTCAAGAAACATTCTTCTGTGGGCAGAGACCAGGCATGGCAAGCTGGTCCCCACGGCAAATTTTCCCCCGGGCTTAGAGCAAAACTCTGTTTTTCAGTTTAATGTGTCATTCCTATAATTTGGATGGTTATGATGTAGTACTTGATCGCAAGTCTCTGTCTGGTTTCACTTGCTTTCATGTCACCATCCTTGAAGGTTTTACAGTTTCTTTGATTTAAGTGTAACAGTCTCATGGGGACAAATAAGACCAAATGCCAAAAATGGAAGGCGTTTGAGTAATCCCTCAGGAATACGCTTGCTAAGGTGCTATTATGCTGCTATTGTGAAGTGGCGATGGCAAGCCAGGAAGAAAATCAGACGGGTCTGGTGCTGGCTATCGATCATGTGTCTGTGGCCTTGTGGTTAGTCAGCGACAAATTCCATTTCCACTCCTCTTTTGGGCTCCTTTCTTTTTCCCTGTACCCAATTTAAAACACAATTTGGTCTTGTGATTGGTGGTGGGGGGGGACACCCTTGTTTCAGCCGGGTTGCAGCCTTGTGATCACAGAAATATGATTGAAAGCAAGTTTCGTTCTATCTGTGTTGCAAGCTGGGGTTGGATTAGGTTCATCAGAGCACTGTGCTGCGGTACCTGAGTCTTGAGCGCTTCCGAAATTACAATGTGGATTGGGCCTTAGTCTTCCCACCCTGACTCGCCCTGCTTGAAATGGGTCTTTTTTTGCCATCCGAAGGCAGCATGTCTTTGAGCTGAAGGGAAAGAAATGGGTAGAGCAATGGGATCTCCTGTCTCTGAGCAAGCTAAAACTTGGCAGGACCATCATGACCGGCTGCAGCCTGACCTGCAGAATGCAGACATGGTGCTTCACGCACGGACTCCCGCACCCAAGCCAGCGATGGGCTCACACGTAGTCATCATGCAGACGGGTGTCCCCATCCCCGCGAGTACAGCCATTGCCGTAGCGCTTGCACAACCTGACACACAGGCCTTTGCAGGCATCAGGTCTCTGTCTCCACCAACCATGTGTTGGAGCATGGGTGCGGGTGATGAAGGCTTCGTTGGTGGTGAAGACCTCCTGTCCAGGTGAGGCTCACACAGCACTGCAGCAGGCCACAAAAATGCTAAGAAACCTGTGAAACATGGACTTCCTTGAGCCATGCTGACACATGTCATGCCAGAACTTTGACTCATGCAAACGTGGGCGATTGTGCGTAAGCACTTTTATCCTGGCTGAGAAACCAGTCCATTATACAGCTGTAAGGATCGTGCTAGATGTATTTCTTTTTCTTCCTAGTCTGTTCGGATTACCATAATAAACTCTCAGCAGCCAGATCTTTTGGAGGTCATTTCCAACCCAAATGCCTGCCTTTCATTGGGAGGAGCCTTCTTCATTCCTAAGATTGTCCGTGGGTGTCAGGCAGGTTTTGCAATAGGAATCTGCTTGCATAGGTGTTACTCCACTTTTCCAGGTACCAGCCCAGCTCCGCTACTCTATGACCGTGGGGATGAGACTTCCCCTCTCTCTGCCTCAGTTTCCCCTCACTTAAAACAGAGGTTGCGCTGATAGAGGGACCAAGGTACACAGTCCTGCCCAAGCCCTTTAAAGGCACAGGCATCCTCGGTAGCACTGCCTATCAATGTGTAGAGAGAAAAACATTTTAACCACAAAAAGTTAAGAACCCTGGGCAGAGGGAGCTGCAGCGAAACAATAGGTTCTTTTAAACAATTATTTAAACCGAAGAGGCACAGTCCCATCCCCCGGACCTCAGCTGGGAGACCCTGGCAGCCCCCACGCTGTATGGTCGGATGGATGGCACTACATCTAAGCAGCCCAACCTCTCGGGATCCCCTTGCGCTTCACGGCACCTTTGGGAATGGAACGGGAACTTGGGCTGCCTGTCGCTCCAATGCCACTTGAGATGCCCCAGGAGAGCGCTCGCTCTTCAAAATTTGATTTCTAGTGCTAAGTGAGGTCTCAAAATGGTTATTTTATGTGAAAAACATGGCAGAGTGGGAATAGGGGGGAAAAAAAAGGTCTCGCCGACCAAAACTGTTTTGCAGTTTAAATGCCAGATTGTATTGGAACACAAACTGGTTGCAAAGCTGTTCACGCTTTATTGCAGTGCTATTATCTTAATATCCCAGGTATTGTGTTGGTGGAGAAAGGATTCATTTCATAGCTGGTGGAGCTGCACAGGTGGTATAAATATCCCTCTGCCGTAGGACCAGGAGAGGAGAGATTTTATTGCCACTGAAACAGTTGGGAGTTACAGGCCTTTGTTTTAGACATTGTCTGGTTGTGGAAAGACGCAAAATTGCAAAACCAAGCCCAGGGTGCTCTGCCAGAACCATCGACGTCCAGCTTGAGAAAGTTAGCTGATTAGCTGAGAAAAATGTTTCGTGCCCGTTCTGCCATTGTTTTTATGTGAGTGAAACTTTAAGAGTGCTGTAAAACACACGGCAGCTCCTCGCCCCTGCGCCGAAGGAGGGTCTCTGGGGTGTGTTGAGGCCTGTCGTGTATTAGGTGGGATTTGCCCCGGGACATACGAGCTGTGCTGCTAAAGCCAGAAATAAAATCAAGGAGCTAACAGCCCTGTAGATGAGGCATAGGAGGGCTGGGATGGTATTTGAGAAGCGAGTGTAAATGCCTGAATCCAAATGAAGAAGAGCCAGTTTCTTAGAAGATGGTTGGTAGCAGCAGGGTCTCTGGGTGAAGGGCAGGAGCAGGGTTAAAATGCAACAGGCTTGCACAAAAAACAGCCGTTTTCTTGTTTTTTTTGTTAGAAACAGGTGTGGCCCCAGAGTCCTGGCACAAATGGCTCTGGTTTTCATTATGCAGGTTTTTTTCCTGCATTATGCAGTTTTCTCCTCCAAGCGGTGAACGCTTAGCACTAGCTAGCACCATGGACACCATAAGTAGACGCCCCATGGCTCACCCCTCGCCCTTGGTGTGTACCCAAGGTGGGTGTACCCAGCTCTCCTTGTCTGCGACTTGCCTCCTCGGCGTGGGGATAACGTCCTGCACAGCTGCGAGGCGCTAGCTGGACATTCTCCTGCCATGTGGATGGATAACCTCTAGGAAACAGTGGTCCAACTTGCAGTTATGAAGTCCAAAACTGATCTCTAAGCAAGTTCGATCAGTCTACAGATTCACCCTGCCTTACCCAACAGGTTGTATTTGGCCTGCAAGTTACTGGTACTTTTTATAATATACCCATTATGAAAGAGCTGATAAAGCAACTTTGTATCTAAAAATCTGCCTATTTTCACAGAATCACAGAATGGCTGAGGTTAGAAGGGACCTCTGCAGATCATCTGATCCAACCCCCCTGCTCAAGCAGTCACCTAGAGCACATTACCCAGGATTGTGTCCAGACAGCTTTTGAGTATCTCCAGGAAAGGAGACTCTACCACCTCTCTGGGCAACCTGTGCCAGTGCTCTGTCACCCTCACAGTCAAGAAGTTTTTCCTCATGTTCAGACAGAACTTCCTGTGTTTCAGTTTGTGCCCGTTGCCTCTTGTCCTATTGCTGGGCATCACTGAGAAGAGCCTGGCCCCATCCACTTGACACCCTCCCTTCAGATACTTGTATACATTGATGAGATCGCCTCTCAATCTTCTCTTCTCCAGGCTGAACAGGCCCAGCTCTCTCAGCCTTTCTTCACAGGAGAGATGCTCCAGTCCCTTCATCATCTTAGTAGCCCTTCACTGGACTCGCTCCAGGAGCTCCATGTCTCTCTTGTACTAGGGAACTGAGAACTGGACGCAGTGCTCAGGACGATGGACGATGTGGCCTCCCCAGGGCTGAGTAGAGGGGCAGGATCACCTCCCTTGACCTGCTGACAGTGCTCTTCCTAATGCAACCCCAGGATCCCATTGGCCTTCTTGGCCACAAGGGCACATTGCTGGCTCAGGGTCAACTTGTCCACCAGGA